ATAGGATCATTACTCTTAGGATCATTACTTTATATATATATAGGGTAAAGATCCTGTCAGCCCAAAGGCGTACTGCTACAGTAAACGCCAATGGCCCAGAATGAATCTGGGTTGATTTAACGATTCCGAATGTCTAGTAGTGTTTGAATTTTGTTTATGTTTTTTTTACAAATTGGATTTATCTGAAATTTGGAGTGTGTGTGCATAAAAAATAGGTGAATCTTTGAAAAATATAAAAAAAATATTTTACATGAAAAAAATTGACCAAAATATCCCTGTAAAGTTTTGGGGGACATTTTGATCAATTTTTTTTTTGCGGATTATTTTTTTTATATTTTTATTAGGTGCGCCTTGATGAGAAGAATATACACCTAAAAATTTCAAGTGATTTGGATCTATAGAAAAAAATTAAAATTCAAACATAAAAAGAGGTCGTGCCGTCGATCGGCCCAAATTCAATCTAGGCCATTGGAGTTTACTGTAGCGATCAGCTAGTAGGCGTACAAAATCCACTCCCATATATAAAAAACGCCTATAGGCAAAAATAAACAGTGATTTCGCCTACCCTCATCACCGTTTAAAGTTCATCGCACAGTCACTATCATCTGGTAGTGTTTTTTTTTTTTGTTTTTTCTACAAATCAGAATGACCTGAAATTTGGATCGTATGCTCATAAAAACTAGCTGAATCTACGAAAACTTTCAAAAAAATATTTTCCTTGAAAAGAGTTGACCAAAATACCCCCAAAAAATTTTGGGGGTATTTTGGTTAATTGTTTTTCGAATTATTTTTTTTAAATTTTCATTAGGTGTGCTTCACTAAGATGTACACACTCTAAATTACAGGTCATTCCGATTTGTAGAAAAAAAAAAGAAAAATGAAACACTACTGAAGAATCTTGACCGTGCGATGAACTTTGGACGGTGATGGAAGTAGGAAAAATCACAGTTCATTTTCGTCTATAGGCGTTGGGAAGACTTAACAAAACGCCTATAGGCGAAAATGAACAGTGATTTCGTCTACCCTCATCACCGTCTAAAGTTCATCGTACGGTCATGATTGTCCGGTAGTGTTTCATTTTTTCTTTTTATTTTTATAATCCGGAATGATATGAAATTTGGAGCATGTGTTCATAAGAAATAGGCGAATTTATGAAAAATATCAAAAAAATATTTTACATGAAATAAATTGATCAAAATACCCTCAAAAAGTTTTAATGATATTTTTGTCTTGTTTTTACAAATTATTTTTTTTTATATTTTTATTAGGTGTGCCTCACTAATATGTACACACGTCAAATTTTAGATCATTCCGATTTGTAGAAAAAAATGAAAAATAAAACACTACCAGAGAATCGTAATCATGTGATGAAACTTTGGACGGTGATGAGGGTAGGCGAAATCACTGTTTATTTTTGCCTATAGGCGTTGGGAAGACTTTTCCATATATATATATATA